CAGCATACAGTGTGGCTTTTAAATCTCAGTCGTGTTACAACTACATGAATGTATTCAAAGAACTTAGTGAAGGTTTAAAAAAAAGCTCATAGTCATCTTAACATGTCAAAAGAAAGTCAGCTGTTGTTTAGCTCCGTTGGTAGAGCAGACTACAGTCCTCCTTACAGGATCGACTCCCGTCCTGATGTTGTTTGGTGCATGTCATCCCCCATTCTCTCATCATTTCCTGTCTCTCTTAACCTGTCCTCTAATAATCTTAAATTGTTTTTTTTTTTTAAGAAAAGCCAACCATAATTTGTGTAACTGTGTGTAGCCCCAGTCTTAAAATCTATAAACAACAAGGGAGCACCTTTATTCTGAAACAAATGTTAGTAACACACGTAACACATTTGTTTCAACATTGTACTATTTAAATATAATTATTGGGTGTCAGGGTTGTTTATAATTATCCAATACATTTATTAGGACAATTATTAATTGTATCAATAATTGCCATGTTGATTGGATTGAATTTGTCCTCACATCTTCAATATTTTGCCAGCTATCGACTATAAGAGACGTCAACAGGCTCTCCTTTAACACTAATCTGGCTGATTCAAACAGTGGCACAAAAAAATGCTGTTTTATTTTTGACCTTGGCCTCCACCTTGACTCATGCTAACTGTGGCAGTGCACAATGTGAGCATGTAATGATTCTGCTGTGGCAGGGATCACAGCCAATGCATAAGTGATCGATGGACGCCGCTCGCTCTCCCTCTCTCACTGTGGGTCTCTCTCTCTCTCTGCCTGTATTGATCATCCAGTATGTGCCTGCGAGCCAGACAGGGAAAAAAACTCCCTTGCTCCTCATTACTCAAAGAGCAGTCCAAGCATTGTCACTCTTGATGGAAACCAGCCCTCTTTTCCCCGACACGATGCTGAAGAAGGAAGGATATAGTCAAGATCTTTTGGAAGGGATTATTATGTCAAATGCCCTCGTCTCCCCGCAGACCATGAAGCACAATGTCATTTATAACCTCACTTAAAATTGCAGCTTCTGCCAGAGTTAATAAGTCATTTTTTTTTTACTTCCCAGACTGATAACAAGTCTATCTTTAGCTCCAGAGGTTTGAGTATGTAATAAGTGAGTTTTATCCTCAGCCAGCGTGGAGAAAATGAACTGAGGTGACCTTGTAGGATAAAAACTCTATTAAGCATTTATGAATGCATGTTGGATTGGACATAGGCATGGGTAACAGTCAGTTTCTAGGGAGCAATCTCTTGTACAATAAATTACATGTAGTGTTAAAAAAATATACCTGAAATCAAGCTTGGCACCTTGACTCTCATGCTGATTGTATCTGCATAGGAATAACATTATAACAGAGGCCTTGCTTGGATTTCTTCTGTGTCTTCCCAGCTACCATTTGACAGCAGTTTTTTTGGTGTCCCCCTTTTTGTTGTTATTTGATAAATGACATAATAAAGGGATGATCCTTTCTCCACACCGCTCAAACACAGGAACACCTAGTGCTCAGTGGTATAACATTAACGTTCTCTACAGACTTCATGTAAAATAGTGTTATTCTGGGGATTGTACATATTTATTATCATAATTTTAATGAATGATTTTATTAAATACAGGCACACAAATTTGACGGATTTAATAAAGCCATTGTATTGAATTTACCAAATGAAGAGCCGTTTGGGAGCCGAAAGAGACTCCTCTTATTACTGAGCGGAGCCAAATGATCCAGACCGCTAAAAAGAGCTGGAATTCATCACTAAAGTAAGTACCTAAGCTTTAAAAAACTTCCAATCTTCCGTCATGTTTATACCAAAAGCTGTCAGAAGCAGAAGAGAGAGGGGATGGTCTAAATTCCACAGATTTCGCTTCCAAAATGTTGCCAACATATTTGTGTAATTAAGATAGGATGCAGGAGTTTGTCTGCATTTTTTGGTAATTAAAAACAAATATGAAACAATATTGGGTGCCTAGGACTTAGATAACTTTGTTGCTGTGGTTTTGTGTTGATATCATTTGACTTTTACTAGAACCGCATTGAAGTTTAAAAATCTGGTATTGTGATATCACTGAGGGTCAGGGAAGTCCTCATAGAGCAGTGGACAAAAGATAACTAATTTCAAGATGGTTTCTGAGCCGAGACTCTCAATAAGTCTGTGTTTACAAGCATAAATGCTGCTTGTAAGGCCCAGGGGGATTTCAATGTACTTTCTTTCAGCTATTCTTTTAAACTGGAGAGAGAAGTGGATGAAAGAAATGGAAAGAAACAGAGAGGGAGCCGGGGGGCGTTTCGGTCAAAAGCTGTTTGATAATGAGTGTTGTTGTTAGAAAATGAAAGTGCCTCTCCTGCCCAGGGTCTTAGTTTTATATCTGCCCCTTTGTGTTGAGCTGATTCTTCTGTGTTTGATAAGTGGTCTTGCAGTCCATAGCCACACATACAGTCCACAGAAGCACACACAACAGCAAACCTCCTATTCATCCTGATATATTACATGTTCATTCCTTAGCTGGTGAATGTGAAAAATAGTCTCTGCTAGACTCGTTGTTGGAGCAGAAATTATATAACTTCAACTTCTTCAGCTTAACTCCTCTTTCTCATTTTTACAAAACTCGTTATGTTTTGTTTCCATGGAAACAAAGACCCGGACAAATACTTCCCCCTCTTTTTGAGAAACTGACTGGGAGGTTTTTAGTACAGCAGGGTGATTATTTTAATGATGCAGAGTACCATTTTTTTTGGAGCATGTGTGTCTGTGTGGTGTTGACAGTGATGAGAATGAAACACACTAAAGCTACCAGGCTGAGCAACATGAATTCATACAATCCATTTAAACACACAGCCCTCTGCAGCCAGTCGGTTAAAATCAGATGGAGAAGATGATCAATGTCTGTATTGTCAAGTCTGCCTTTAACACCAAGACTAACATTTCCAGTATTACTGTCATGCACTAAAGTGAACTGACAAAGCTAATTTAAAGAAAAATACCATTCATGAAACGTGTTTTTCCCATATTGATTATCTTAGTATTACAATGATTTAAAGTGAAATAGCCTTATTTAACTTAAGTAATTCTAAACAAAAAATACATCGCCCTAACATAAGATTGAAAATGTAGCAAAAATAAGTAATGGTGTATCATGTAAATTAAAAAAAGATGATGTTCAGACCTTCCTACAAGAACTCAATCAACCAAGTGTAACAACAAAATACTCTCATTTGTGTACTCATATTTTTCTTGTGTAGCGCCAGTCAAAGTCTTTATGAGCAGTCTTCACTTGAATACATTGTTTTATCCAACCAACAGTCCAAAACTAAAACCGAATGCGTATATATGCAAAGATGTACAACTAAAAGCAGCAACATGAGCCTTTTGAAGCATATGGCAGCCAAGAATGTGTAAACACAACAATTTGTGCTTACACCGCTTTTCAAAATTGTAGTTTATCTTTGTTCACTTTGTGACAGACATTTTTTTATCCTCTCATCTGAATCTGGTCAATGGGCACTCTTTCTGACATGACACCAAAAGGAATGGGTACTTATTGTATTCAGCATGTGTGTTTTTAAAAAAAAGTCTTTAACAAGTTTCTCTGAAGCTGAAGCTTTGCATTTTAAAGGTTTTGTGTTGAATTGTATCTATCTGCATATGTTTAGGTTAAGGAGGAGCAGGCATCAGACTGTGAGGAAAATATGGAGAGAATAGCCAGAAAAGGTCACTCCACCTCTGGGCTGCAGAGAGAAGACGAGACTGAAACAAAACCAGAGGTGAACAAGATTTCTTGAAGACTTAAAGACAGAAACGAGAGTTGCGAGCTGAAATATTGGAGAAACTGTGGTTCAGTTTTCCCCTGTAGACTCTCACTCCATGTATTCTATTCCAGTGGAAATTAGTGGTAAAAAAAAAAAAAGAGCAAAAAGTTCAGTAAAATCACATTTCCATCTTTTTTCTCAGTGTTGTAATGTGCAAATGAGAAAAAGATGTAACATCAGGAAAAAAAAATGGCTGTCAACACTCAAATGATAACCACATTCCGCACGTTCTCTGTGAGATTTTGCTCCAGCTCTGTTGTCTGTATGTGTTTATTTCATATCCTTTTGATCTGATCAATTCTGGTATTTTTGACAGTGATTTTAAAATACACATCTGTTTTTATTCATTGAAATTCAGTGGAACTGTTTGAAGGTTTGTTTGCAACATTACCATACAGCAAAGTCTTTTATAATTAAGATTGTGTGTCGTGAGATCAATGTTCAGAATGTAGAATTCAACACTTAAATGTAGCCTGTAATATTTTTCTTATTTTAAGTGAGGAGAGGCATTTGGTCAGCTAAGACCTAGAGCTAACCTAGAGTCAGCTAAGAGAGCTAAGTTATTTACAACTGTAGGAGTCTTTTCTCTCTCTCTTTGTATCTACATTTTTCCTGACAGTGGAGGGTTTTCCCACATCCTATGCCTTATTTTTTTTAGACAGTCTTAAAGACCTCAATGGGTTTTTAGATCAGTGTCATCCGTTTAAGAGGATTTTCTAAGTATATTATTAGTGGAGGAATACAAGCTGCCATTTTTGGATAAAAGAGAGGCTGAGCTCTTCCTTTTGGGTCTGACATGTTTGACTTAAACCTTTTTTTAAAGACTGGCACAATTGAATAAGAAAAAGCAGATTCTCTATGAGTCTTGAATCTCATTTGAACTCATTAACCCGGGTGCACAGACAATGGCAGACGCCTTTGATGAAGCCTGTCAGTATGAATTACAAACAACACTGATATTGCATTTCCGTCATTAATCACAGCTCTAACAAAGGTTGACAGCCGAGAAGCTCCTTTCAGGCGAATCCACCACCACATGGCGCGAATGATTTTTTTTATTTACAAGTGGAAATGAGGTTACTGATCTCGAAGCTTCTGTGTTGTGGTAACAAAGTAAAGCACGAGCGCACACATGGACTCAACTCAACACTGCTCATTTGCAGGAGAGAGAGAGAGAGAGAAAGAGCGCGCTGATTTGTACAAGCTGGCGCGCGCTTGTTTTCAGCACCATGGAGAGCAACACCTGCTTAACAAGAAGGACTAAAAACACGAAGAATTGTACTGTTCCGTTTTCATGCATTGGTTTGGTTCGAGAATATGTTGCTATGCACGGTGCAGCCCCGGAAAAACACGATGACATCAGCTGCAGCTTATGTGGTTAAAGTGACGTAAAGACTGATGACAGCATTGTTATGTCCATGTCCAAAGTGTGAGAAACAATCATCGACTTGTTCGCAGACACTGTGCCACAGAGGATATTGGTCCTGAAGGTCCACCCTGCTGTTGTTGTTTTACGTCACGTAAACGCTGCTCAGTGGAGAGCTATATCTTCGTTTCTGCGCTGATATGTGCTCACAGAAAACTACTAAAGTTCAATCAAACAGGTGTGGGAATGATTCCATCAAGTGTTTGTTTCTCCTCACACTTGACTGAAGGTGTGTGATCGACATTGTAAGTGTCATGTTTATTTCCGATTGGGCGGCTGGTTGGACGTATGTCAGACATATGCGCGCCGTGGGCGGGTGTCGACGTGTTTGTAAAAAAAGGAAAAAGGCGGAGGCGAGTGCAGCGGCTCAGTGTGTGGATACGCGCAGATAGGTGATGGTAAGAAGAGACGTGAGTGGCGTCGGCCGCAGCTTCCCAAAGCTGTAGGCTTTGGCTGGGAGAGGCTTGGCACACCTCTGCCTCTCTGGACCCAAAACCACCTGTATGGATGATCAGAACTACAGTGTGATCCATACGCTTTCACCTGCCAGGAGCACGGGCAACAACACCACAGAGAGTCGGGGTTATGAGGTGGAGAGGGGCGTCATGACGGTGGAAAACATGCTGGAGGACACCGCCGTCCTCTCGGCGCCTCACCTGTCCGTGGATCGATACGAGCGCAGCCGCCAGGGATGCTGCGAGCGCGTGGTGATCAACATTTCGGGTTTACGCTTCGAGACGCAACTGAAAACTTTCAACCAGTTTCCAGAAACGCTGCTGGGGGATCCGAGGAAAAGGATGCGCTACTTTGACCCACTGAGGAACGAGTACTTCTTTGACAGGAACAGACCCAGCTTTGATGCCATCCTATACTACTACCAGTCAGGGGGGCGCATACGGAGACCTGTTAACGTCCCCATTGATATTTTCTCTGAGGAAATCCGCTTCTATCAGCTCGGGGAGGAGGCCATGGAGAAATTCCGCGACGATGAAGGGTTTATAAAAGAAGAGGAGCGCGTGCTGCCCAAACATGAGTTCCAAAAGGAGGTTTGGCTTTTATTTGAGTATCCTGAGAGCTCGGGGCCAGCTCGGGGGATCGCGATCGTTTCAGTGCTTGTTATTTTGATTTCCATTGTGATTTTCTGCATTGAGACTCTTCCCGAGTTCAGGGATGATAGGGACCAAGCCACAGTGGCACCCACGGTAAATGGCACGGCCCCCCACGTGCCAAACCCGTTCACAGACCCCTTCTTCGTCATAGAGACTCTGTGCATCATTTGGTTCTCTTTCGAGTTGCTGGTTCGGTTCTTCGCCTGCCCCAGCAAAACTACCTTTTCCAAAAACATCATGAATATCATTGATATCGTGGCCATCATCCCCTACTTTATCACTCTGGGGACCGAGCTGGCCGAGACGCAGACCAACAGTGGGCAGCAGGCCATGTCTCTCGCCATCCTGAGGGTGATCAGGCTGGTGAGGGTCTTCCGCATCTTTAAGTTGTCACGACACTCAAAGGGACTTCAGATTTTGGGTCAGACACTCAAAGCGAGCATGAGGGAGCTCGGCTTGCTCATATTTTTCCTCTTCATCGGAGTTATCCTCTTCTCAAGCGCGGTTTACTTTGCAGAAGCGGACGACCCCACGTCCAGCTTCACCAGCATCCCAGACGCGTTTTGGTGGGCAGTGGTCACCATGACTACAGTGGGATACGGGGACATGCATCCGGTGACCATCGGGGGTAAAGTAGTGGGGTCTCTGTGCGCAATAGCAGGCGTGTTGACCATCGCCTTACCCGTGCCAGTGATTGTGTCCAACTTCAACTACTTCTACCACAGGGAGACGGACGGAGAGGAGCACCCGCAGTACGTGCACACGGACAGCTGTGAGCACCTCCCCGCTGAGGAGCTGAGGAGGTCGTGCAGCTCCTCGTCTCTCAGCAAGTCCGAGTACATGGTGATAGAGGAGGGCATCAACAGCGCGTTCAAACAGCCCAACTTCAGCACCGAGAACAACCAAAACTGCGTGAACATCAAAAAGATCTTCACAGACGTGTAGCCGAAAATGAGCCACACACAGGATCATTTGTGGAGCATGAAGACATAATAGCTATAATATTATTTTTATATATAACCAATCGTTACGTGTCAGTCCATATCTGTGGGTGAGCGCTGCGTAAAATGTCCATTTTAACAAGCTTTGTCGTTCAATTTAATAATGAGGAATTCAGATTCTACTTGTTTCCAGTGTACATTCACGTGTTTGGAGTATTTCTCACAAGTATTCATATGACTTATAAAAACATTTGCACTGGAAACGTGTTGTCAAGAAATTAAAAAGTTATTGTCTTGTTAAAACCGACATTTTTTTTTGCAGTTTCTAGCCTAATGCCACTCGATGCCTACATATCTTTATGTATTTATGTAAATGCGGAAGTTGTTGATGTTTATGATTGGGATATACACGTGTAGCATAGTCTATATTTGCATTTACCCGCCAGTCTTAAAAAACGACGTCTTGTGCTTCGTGCAGAGAAAATAAGTTTAAATGTCCAGTAACGTAATAAATAATAAACTATAGTAACTTAAATAGCCCAAAAAGTCTGTTAAGGTTATTAAATATCATAACCTGTCCACATGTCGGACTCTGAGTCTTGTGCAGCTTGTTATTCAGGTAATAACACTATACGTGGTGTCGATGGAAACGCTTATCATGAACAATAAGTCGAGCTTTTCATAAAATTGTATTTTTTACTCACAACTGCCTATATTAAATAAACCAGAAATGAGAAGGTCCGGATTGTAAATGTCTTTTAATCACTAATATCCCTGCAAAGCTAGAGGGGGTGATGAAACATATGAAGTATGAAGTGTGAATAATTGTGTGTGTGTGTGAGGTCACTTGCGCGTGACGTCAGAATGAAAACAGCGTGCAGGAAAGGAGGCACAACGTGCACAACGTCCCGCCTCCTTTATCGCGCTTGCTGAACAACGCCTTGTGATGCAGTCTCCATGACAACGGTGGTTTCCCGGGTAACCCCCCCCTATGATGTTGCCATGGCATTGGGTTGCGTTTTCACTTTCCAACTGTGGTTCACACCATCACCTCTGTGTCCTTGGAGGAGAGAGTCAGCTGTTTCAGAACATGAAAATGGAGTTTAATCATTTATAATATTTATCAAATAAGTCAGAACTAGCAGGGCTTCAGAAGCAGCTAGCTGCCTGTGGCTTCTTGTGAAGTGTTGTCAGAAATGTAAAAATACTCCTGAAAAGCTTATTGTATCGGTGCAGCTTCTCCTTTGTTTCACTTGTAAGCACCCCAGCTGCTCTGTGTTTTAGATGTGAGCTCCATTCTGTGAGTTGGCATGCCAACTAGGTGTGACGTCAGTCACCTTTCATCCCCTCCAGCAGCCTTTTGCACATGTGCTGCTCGCTCAAAGTGGCTGAAAGCTGCAAGTGACACAAACAAACCCAAATGAGTCCAAAGATTAATTAATTACACAGCTGCATTCCCTCTTAATGTTTCACATTGGCTCTCAATATGAATGACACTTTTTATATTAACTGGGCTGTAGCCATTATACTTTAACTTAAAATATTGTGTATATTTTTTTAGTTGAGAGAAGAATAATAAGAATAAGAATTCAAACATAAATAGTAAAGAAAAAGCATACCATTTTTCAACAGTACAAGATAACGTCCTCCTTTTTCTGTTAATTTGACTGCAAAATTAAACAAAGATGAATCGTACAATAAAGCAAAGAGAAGCAGCAAATCTCCTACAAAGAAAAAATGGCTCAATGATTAGTTAACAATATAACTGCCTAAATTTCTATAAACTGCATTAATAGTTTGATAGATCTCGATTTAAATGTTGCATTTGTAATTCCTTGAGGTATTTAGGAGCGCTGATCTGCATATATGTATGTACATATGTATGAACTACTTGGTCATTTGATGTTGTCTTGCCGCTGAACTGGAGGAGCAGTCATGTGTGAGCTCCTGCTGAACTGTGTTTTTGTATCAACACAGAGGCTTCATCATTCTGAAAATAGCTCACTACTGCTCTCTTCTGGATCAATTGAGTTATTACATCTCAGAGGGTGCTTTATATTGAGGTTCTGATAACGTTGGGCTTCTTTTGAACTTGGGAACTATATCACTGTGCCTTAATAATCATTCTACTAGCATACACATCTTAATGTGCTCCTCGTTGTGTGCCGACTGTACCAAAGCCCGCTCCCTAAGTAACTTACAATATCAATGTGTGTGTCACGGAGCTGCAGCTGGCAAATGCAGAGACCTAATAGAATTACTTTATTGATCCCAAATGGGAAATTGTTAACTAATTCAACATCAGTTAAATATACTGTAGTATGACTTATATAAGATAAGATAAGATATGTTTATTGTCATTGTACAAGTACAACGAAATATTGTTGGAGCAAGCTTGCAGATGCCTAATATCAGAAATATACAAATATACAAATACTATATATTATATGACACACTGGATATTTGCCTGTGAATATTTTTGGGGCAAAATAATTTTCTATGTTTGTCAATAATAGATCTTATAACACCTAAAACACGATAATACAACCACTTAGATATTCCTCTTTAGGCTGAAAAACAACCCCATATTCATGTATAGGTAAGAGCTTTATCCAAGTCAGATACAAAGGTAAAATACATTTTAATGGAGAAATATTTAATTTTGTAAATATCGGGATTACTGTTTTTTTCCCCTCATGCATCACAGAGGTTGCATGATACGTGGTTTGTCCTAGAATTGGCCACGTGATTGTCAGGGATTTCTCAACTAAAACACCGCTCTAGAGGCTTGAAGTGTGAGCTATTGTTTGTACATTTCTCAGAAGAAAAAAAAGTTACATTTTGTGAGCCTGAGTGCATAAAAGCTTTCCATACTTCCAACTTACTGTACTCTGAAGAAGCGCAGAAAAGGACATTTTGGTGACCTGAATTTGGCATTGCGGGAAACTGAGCTTTTTCAATGCAAAATCCTACCTTGTAGCATTTCCTTGTAAGCTCATGTAATGTTTTACATAAAAGAACATTTTAACACAAGGCATGCTCCTACAGTATGAGTTATAAGAGTAGAACCATAATAGCAGCTTTGTGCATTCCCTAAACAAATGTCAGAGTACTCTCAGAAAGGCTCTGATGATTATCCCATATTCCTTCTAATTTACTGATATGGACTCCTGCACTCATGTTCCTGAGGGAACTTTAAATAAGCTTTGAAAATAGTTTGGATGTTTTTGAGCTTTAGAATTTCCGTTGTTTAAATCTGTCTTTTCATGGTAAAATTTCAGATTGAATCCAATAATTTAAATGTCAAACTTGTCACAAACGAAGTAGCATGTGGTCCACGTCTGATTTTTGTATACGTTTTGTTTTACACACTTCAGCTCTCACAAACACTTAAGGAAGGTAAACACAGGCTCTGAAGGCTAGCATGACTTAAACTAACACGTTATATGGCCGTCTATGCAAGATCATTTTAAAGAGTAACTGTTTATCATTGACCTTAAACTATTAACCCTTCATCCACTGTGGCAACTCTGCTGAATGTACTGTTTCATATGAACCAAGACGACCTCCAGAAACCATGTGGCCCCCAGCTCCAGGTGCTCCATCTCAGAACTGCTGAGTGGTTTTGTTCCCTCTGTCTCCCTTACTGGAATTTAAGTCCTCCTTCGATGTATTTTTAACTTGGGGGAAATGGAAACGGATCTGCAAGTTACCCTGCGTTGTGAATCATCTCCTCCAGAGCTCAGCGAGGGATACCTGCAGTTCAGCCTGTAGTTCTGTGGGTTATGGAGAGGTAAGAATCACATTAAAGATACATTCATTAGACCTAATAGGCTGAGATACTGTGATCCCATGTGGAGATGAGTGTTGCCTTTAGGATTTTAAAATTGATAAATGAGCATTTAGCACAATAACTTGGTGATTTATTTATCTTATGAGGAATATAAGAAGCCTTTTACACAAGATTAAATACTGCCATGATTCATGAATAGTCCCAAAAAAAAGTATTTACTACATTTTGTGTAGGTTTGCTAGGTATCACCTGCAGGAACATTCAACATTCACATCTTTAAAATGGTTCAAATTTCTATCTTTATAAACTAAATACTTTAGTTTATTTAGCCCTGAGCTGTGAGTGTTTTTGCATCTTTCCACATATTCATTTAGTTTTCTGATAGCAGACATGAGATAGCAGCTGATGGACCTACACTGAGCAATGAAACATATTTTCCTCAGAGGAGACAACGACAAAGATTGAAGGAGAAATAACATCTCACTTTTATTCAACTACTCTGAAAACACTCGGATGTAACAACTGATTTTGTTTAAGACAGTGTGGATGATTTTATTTGTTTACAAACAATTAAAAAAGGAAGTGTGAAAGACACATTTAGAATAATGTCAAGTAGTTTCTAAATTAGATTTTTAAATTTACATCATTAATGTATCCACAGGTACTTCACTCTCTCAGTAAACAAGTTAAGTATGAAGTCAATGTTTAACAAGGTGATATTCTGGAAGTAATGCATATAGTATCAACCAAAGAAGAAGTGAGGTGAACGGTCCATTTTCCACTCACCCTTAAGTTTTCTTTGTAGCAGGCGAGGCTTGGTTAGGAGGGAGGAGGAAGTAGCAGGACTGAAGGAAGGCTTGTGTGGCTTGAACAGGTGTGGAAAAGGAAGTCAGGTATGGTAATGCAGATTGAATGGAGACTTAAAAAACCTCTGTGCCAGATCATGACTTCAAATCATTTCTTATTTTTGCTCTGTGTCTGCAGGCATTGTTTTGGCTCACATGTCTGCTAAAATAACCGTAAATGTTGTGATTTCAATTTGCCACTCTTGAACAGTTCTTGTTTCTGTGTTAAGAGTGAGCACATCGTGTCGTGCTCTGAAAAATATGCCCACCGGAAAACAATCAGAGCCACATTATGCGATCAGGGGCTGAGACGCTCACAAAATGCCTCTAGCTTGTAAAAAACCCACATTTTTAGAATGTCAAAGGATTACTTGAAGGATTACTGTTTCCCCTCTAGTGGAAGCAGAACTTAATATTCTCCAGAGTAAGTTATGGTCAAAGTTAAGTTGTAGTATCTTAACTGTAATTTGGGCACTCATTTTATAAATGATTGATTGAAGTATCTAAAACATTTAAAATGTTGTCTAATCCTGGTTATGTAATGTCGTCGGCATAAATGCGAACAAAAAGATTCGACGTCTCAAACCACTATTTTGAAACACACCTTTTAAGCAGGATGTGAACAGGACTTTAACGTGTACTATTTGAAATGCTTCTAATTGTCTCTTTGTACCTCGGTGAATGTCTTGAGGGCTGCACAGCTGTAACACAGTCACAGCTGGGACACCTGAGTGCACTCCGCTGCAGGGTAAGAGTTCTTGACAGAACATGCACACACTCTAAGCAAACACACTCATATTTGAGCTTGCATGATTGATACACAAATGCCCACTGCTGCTCCAGGCAGTTTTAAGGATGCAGGACAAGATCCTGCTTATTCTGGATGGGGGGAGATAGAGGGAGACCCCGGGCTTCCCCTCTCCTCTAGTCTCCTCCCTGTCCTCATCATGCCAGCATTCACCACATGAGAGGATTCGATGCCTAGCAGCAGCATGCCTCTTTTGATTATAGCCAGCATGCCAACAGGAGAGCGCTGCGTGTCTTCCTTGAACTTTACCAAAGCTTCCCTCATCTGAAGCGAAGAGGGACGGTGAAATTATTCA